ACGACTTCTGCCGTATATATATAAAAAAGTTTTTGCATATTTTGAAAACTATCGCAGCGCTGTATAGCCCTTGTGGCTTAGCGCTTCTTTTTTATTATAATTTGAAAACTATCACTGTGAAACTTCTATCACGTCATATTCCCTTAGACACATTTTTCAATAAGAAAAAAATAAAATGTCAATAAAGTCTTGCATTATACTGAATTTCTCTCTTCCCATGTGTGAGATAGGTTGATGTATTACGTCCGTAGCCTTGTGGCGAGTCTTTATGGCTTTCTTGTCAGCTTAAATATTATAATTCCTTCCGTCATTTGTTTTATGGAATTGGATAGACATTCTTTGTCAGGGGGAAGGAGATATATCCATCATCGAAGATTAAGTATACTGAATATTCACGTATTAAAGTTGCGCTAACAAGAGGTCTTATTAATATATATAGTAATATATATATATATATATATATATATATATATATATATATATATGGTAGTAAGTTGGTAGTAACCACCCGTGGGGGCACTACCGTCCTGCCAAGTGAGTGTAAAACGAAAGCCTGTAATTGTTTTACGTGATGGTAGGATTGCTGGTGTCTTTCGTCTGTCTCGTAAATATGCAAGATTGCAGGTACGTCTCGCTACTTCTACTTACACTTAGGTCACACTACACATACATGTACATGTTTATTTATACACACTCATCTGAGCTTTCTTTGATTTTATCTTTAGTTCTTGGTCTTATTACTTTTCCTTTTATATCCATGGGGAAGTGGAATAAAAAGAAAATTGTGCGTGGATGTTGTGCAAAAGATTGTGGATGTTACGAATAAGAAGAAGCTGGATGTCCTGGCTTTAAGTAAAACAAAGCTGAAGGGGTGGGATAGTTTCAGTGGAGAGGAATAAATGGGATTAGGTCAGGGGTTTCAAATATTTAGAGCTAAAGAAGGAGTAGCAATAATGTTGAAGGATAAGTTATGGCAGGAAAAGAGGGACTATAAATGAATTAATTCAAGGATTATGTGGAGTAAAATGTTGGATGTGAAAAGTGAGTTATAGTAAGCGTATATTCACCTGGAGAAGAAAGAAATGTAGAGGAGAGAGAGAGATTTTGGGAAATGTTGAGTGAATGCGTGGGAAATTTTAAACCAAGTGTGAGAGTAATGGTGGTTGAGGATTTTAATCCTAAAGTGGACAAAAATGTTGTGGAGGGAGTAGTAGGTAAATTTGGGGTGCCAGGGGTAAATGAAAATGGGGAGCCTTTGAGCTATAGCCCTTGTGGCTAAGCGCTTCATTTTTTATTATAATAATAATTTAATTGAGCTGTGTGTAGAAAGAGGGTTGGTAATAAGTAATACATATTTATGAAAAAGAGGATAAATAAATATACAAGGTATGATATAGCACGTAATGAAAGTAGTTAGATTATGTATTGGTGGATGAAAGGTTGATGGGTAGGCTTCAGGATGTACACGTTTATAGAGGGGCAACCGATATATCGGATCATTATTTAGTTGCAACTACAGTTAGAGTAAGAGGTAGATGGGAAAAGAGGAAAATGGTAACAACAAGCAAGAGGGAGGTACGGTGTATAAACAAAGGGAGGAGGAAGTTCGGGTGAGACATAAGCAACTATTGGAAGAAAGGTGGGCTGATGCAAGTATGATTAGTGGGGGAAGGGGTTGAAGAGGGTTGGAATAGTTTTAAAAATGCAGTATTTGAATGTGGGGCAGAAGTTTGTGGTTATAGGAGGGTGGGTGCAGAAGGAAAGAGGAGGGATTGGTGGAATGATGAAGTAAAAGGGTGTGATAAAAGAGAAAAAGTTAGCTTATGAGAGGTTTTTACAAAGCAGAAGTGTTATAAGAAGAGTAGAGTATATGGAGAGTAAAAGAAAGGTGAAGAGAGTGGTGAGAGAGTGCAAAAGGAGAGCAGATAGTGGGAGAGGCACTGTCAAGAATTTTAATGAAAATAAGAAACAATTTGGAGTGAGTTAAACAAGTTAAGAAAGCCTAGGGAACGAATGGATTTGTCAGTTAAAAACAGAGTAGGGGAGTTAGTAGATGGGGAGATGGAGATTTTGGGTAGATGGCGAGAATATTTTGAGGAACTTTTAAATGTCGATTAAGAAAGGGGAGCAGTAATTTCATGCACTGGCCAGGGAGGTATACCATCTTTTAGGAGTGAAGAACAGCAGGATGTGAGTGTGGGGGAGGTGTGTGGGGCATTATGTAGAATGAAAGGGGGTAAGGCAGCTGGAACTGACGGATCATGACAGAAATGTTAAAAGCAGGCGGGGACATAGTGTTGGAGTGGTTGGTATTTTTGTTTAATAAATGTATGAAAGAGGGGAAGGTCCCTAGGGATTGGCAGAGAGCATGTATAGTCCCTTTATACAAAGGGAAGGTGGACAAGGGAGATTGTAAAAATTATAGAGGAATAAGTTTACTGAGTATACCAGGAAAAGTGTACAGTAGGGTTATAATTGAAAGAATTAGAGATAAGACAGAATGTGGGATTGCAGATGAGCAAGGAGGTTTCAGAGTGGGTAGGGGATGTGTAGATCAAGTGTTTATATTGAAGTATGTATGTGAACAGCATTTAGATAAAGGTAGGGAAGTTTTTATTGCATTTATGGGTTTAGAAAAGGCATGTGATAGTGGATAGGGGAGCAATGTGGAAGATGTTGCAAGTATATGGAATAGGTGGTAAGTTACTAATTGCTGTAAAGAGTTTTTATGAGGATAGTGAGGCTCAGGTTAGGGTGTGTAGAAGAGAGGGAGACTACTTCCCAGTAAAAGTAGGTCTTAGACAGGGATGTGTAATGTCACCATGGTTGTTTAATATATTTATAGATGGGGTTGTAAAAGAAGTAAATGCTAGGGTGTTCTGGAGAGGGGTGGAATTAAATTATGGCGAATTAAATACAAAATGGGAATTGACACAGTTGCTTTTTGCTGATGATACTGTGCTTATGGGAGATTCTAAAGAAAAATTTCAAAGTTTAGTGGGTGAGTTTGGGAGTGTGTGTAAAGGTAGAAAGTTGAAAGTGAACATAGAAAAGAGTAAGGTGATGAGGGTATCAAATGATTTAAAGAAAAATTGGATATCAAATTGGAGAGTAGTAGTATGGAAGAAGTGAATGTTTTCAGATACTCGGGAGTTGACGTGTCGGCGGATGGATTTATGAAGGATGAGGTTAATCATAGAATTGATGAGGGCAAAAAGGTGAGTGGTTCGTTGAGGTATATGTGGAGACAAAAAACATTATCTATGGAAGCAAAGAAGGGAATGTATGAAAGTATATTAGTACCAACACTCTTTTATGGGTGTGAAGCTTGGGTTGAGTGCAGCAGCGATGAGGCGGTTGGAGGCAGTGGAGATGTCCTGTCTAAGGGGAATGTGTGGTGTAAATATTATGCAGAAAATTCGGAGTGTGGAAATTAGGAGAAGGTGTGGAGTTAATAAAAGCATTAGTCAGAGGGCTGAAGAGGAGTTGAGGCGGTTTGGTCATTTAGAGAGAATGGATCAAAGTAGAATGACCTTGAGGGGGCTTGGACTTCCAGCAAGCGTGCATGAACGTGTTCGATAGGAGTGAATGGAGACGAATGGTATTTCGGACCTGAGGATCTGTTGGAGTGTGAGTAGGGTAATATTTAGTGAAGGGATTCAGGGAAACCGGTTATTTTTATATAGCCGGACTTGAGTCCTGGAAATGAGAAGTACAATGCCTGCACTCTAAAGGAGGGGTTTGGGGTATTAGCAGTTTGGAGGGATATGTTGTGTATCTTTATACGTATGTACTTCTAAACTGTTGTGTTCTGAGCACCTCTGCAAAAACAGTGATGATGTGTGAGTGAGGTGAAAGTGTTAAATGATGAAAGCATTTTCTTTTTTGGATTGTCTTTCTTTTTGGGTCACCCTGCCTCGGTGGGAGACGGCCGACTTGTTAAAAATAAATAATATATATATACATATATATATATTATATATATATATATATATATATATATATATATATATATATATATATATATATATATATATATATGTCGTGCCGAATATGTTAAACTGGGTCAATTAGCAAGAACTCATTTAAAATTAAGTCCTTTCTAAAATTTTCTCTTATACGTTTAAAGATATATTTTTTTCATTAATGTTAATGTAAAAATTTTTAATTTTGCACCAAAAGAATCTTAGAAAACTTACCTAACCTTATTATAACAAGAACAATTTATTTTAGCCTAACCTAACTAAATATATTTTAGATTTGTTTACAATAATTTAATACTAAACAAACGCAGTGAAAAATATTTTTTTCGTTAGGTTCAGAATGATTTTGGCGAAATTATTGCATAAACAAATTTTCGTTTGTCCTATATGTCAAGATGAGCGTTGCTATTTAAGCCAAGATCGCAAGTTCTGCCTATTCGGCACGACATTTTATATATATATATATATATATATATATATATATATATATATATATATATATATATATATATATATATATATATATATATATATATATATATATATAATATATAATTATTGTGACCACGAACAAGTGGTATTGAATCAACAACACTTCGACTAGCCGAGGATTCGAACCCATGTTGTTTTGGCCCTCCTCATGGTTAGCGAATTTAAAAAAAATTATATATCTTTATACGTATAACAGAAAATTATAGAAAGGTCTTAATTTTAAACGAGTTCTTGTCAATTGGCCAATTTTACCTACTCGGCACGATATATATATATAATATATATATATATATATATATATATATATATATATATATATATATATATATATATATATATTATGTATATGTAGACATACACTCTTGGAATCTACTAAGTCATGATCGTATATCCTTATGTAGAGGGTAATGTTTATTATTTTTTTTTTTTTATTTTTTTTTTTTTTTGAATTTGACCAAAATACGCATCAGGAGATATTTTCCTATTTCTGCTGGCATACAAAATCCCCTTTCCATTAACGACCATTTTGTTTGTTGTTCCTGCAGGAGTAATGCCGTCGCCAGCGCCCTCCTTCGAAGGTTTCGCAGCCACCGTCAACGCCTACCTTGAGAAACCGCCCTTTAACCACCCTAACGCTCTCCACCAGATAGGAGGCATGAAGAACGTAAGCCTCCTTACCACACTACTAATTGCTTACCCACATGTCTATTACCTGCCTACATTCTTTCCAATCATTCACCTACCCATTCGTAATTTTTAGTTATCTTACACATCCTGTCTTCTGCTCCCTCACCAGCTGACGTATTCCTTTCACTGGTGCATTTTCTTCCCTCTGTTCCCTCAGGAGTTGTTACATATCCTGCCCTCTACTTCCTCACCAGCTGCTGTATTTTCACTTCGCCTCCCTCTCCATCTGGTGAATATAATCTGTTTCTATCCCTCGCTGTGTCACCATCTGGAAAAGATCCGGGCCCGGACTGCACCGGGGAACCTACTAATACTATTTCTAATCCTTCCAACTGGTGTATTTCCTCTACTCCCTTATCAGTTAATGTAGTTACTAGTCTCCAAGAAAAATCTAACACATACTCTAAGAATAATTCACCAACACTAGAAGTTTCTTAGCCGGTCTAATGGGGCATTCCCATGTAATCGCACCGAAACAATTGAAGAATAAAAGCATCCATAGGAAGCATTATTGTTTTGGAGGTCACTTGATCTGCAAGAGTTATATTACTTGTCCCAAGACAGACAAATGCTATAAACTATAGAAAAAGCAGTAAGCTGTTCCACCCGTGTAATAGTGCAGAACAGTTACCATACGGTAATTTATTTTTTAATTGTAGTAAAAGATTACCTTAGCTTAATACATGAGATTAGCTCGTGTACCAGGATAACTTCAGAATTACAAGTTTGAGAGATATTGGGAAAAAAATCCTATAGATTGAGAGCTTAATCGTGAAGGCAATAGGTTTAAGATGAATGTTGAGAGCCCTGGGATAAAAGCAATAGTTTCTTAGCTCTTGGCTTAAAAACTATCGTAAAAGAGATTTCACATGAGAGGAAAAATGAGAGGTAGAGAATGAGACGTATGGGATTAAAGTAATGAGATGACCGTAAAAGGATGAGATCTGTGGTTTGTGAGCCCTTAAAAAAGATTTCGATTCAAAGTCATATGGGCTTAGCGGTCAGTGTATAACAAGGCACGAGTGGTCAGATCTCAGATATTTAAAATATTGGAAAAATATATATATAAACCTCAAGCATTTCCCGAAGTTATCTAAGCTAACACAGGCATCAGCAGTCTCGTGTTTGGAAAATAGATACCTAGCAGACAGAACTAACTATTCACAAGTGAATTCTATTTTGTTTTTTTTTTTGTTTTTTGGTATAAAAGAAAATATATTTTGGAGAACAATTAATGAAATAAAATGATAAAATAAAACCTTGCCTGCAACGTGTCTTTTATTCATAGAAAAAAAGTATATACGTATATTTTAGTAGAAGCTGTTGCGACATTTAAGAATTCAGATAGTGCGGAGAAATATTTACTTTACCGAAGTCTGATTGTCACTGAATATCCACTGTCTGCCCCATGGGCTGCCTGTCACTTAATATACACTTCACGCCCCATGGGCTGCCTGTCACTGAATATACATTCATGCCCCATGGGCTGCCTGTCACTTAATATACACTTTACGCCCTATGGGCTACTTGCCTGGGAAGATTCATTCACTTTATACCCAATTTCTGATTGCCTCTGAAGATTCTCATTAGGGCCAGGCGGCTCTGTCTCTGAAAGTATTCTTTATATACCCAGGTGCACGCTTCCCTTGAAGATACAAATTACATGTTCACTGGCTGCCTGCCCCCTGAAGATGTACTTTGCACCCCAACGACTGCGTATCCTCTAGAAGGTCCTTTACACACCATGTGTTGCCTAGACCTGAATGTACACTATACCCCACGGAGATGCTTCTCTCTGAAAATGCCTTTGTAACCTCCGAGAAAGCCTGACCCTGAATATGCCTATCCCTAAAGACAAACTTTTCACTCCACAGGCTGCCTGTCCCCGTTGATGCACTCTCTCTAATCAAGGCACTACCTGTTCTTGAAGGTGCACTGTAAGGTATAAGGGTCGCCTTTCCCTAATGATGCACTTTACTCACCAGGGGTTCCTGTCCCTAAAGTTACATATTACATACTAGGAGCTTCATTTCTCTGAAGACACTCCACACACAAGAGTATTTTGTACCCCACGCACTTTACACACTAGGGGCTGCTTGTTCCTGTAATTACACTTTACCAACTATGAACTGCTGTCCTTGAAAATACGCTCTACACACCACGGATTGCTTGTACCTTATGTTAAATGTTGAAAGCTAGAAGCTACCTGACCCTAAAGATGTTTTACACAACAGAAGCTGCATGTCCCTGAAGATACACTATGAGCTGTGCGTTCTAAAGATGCACGCTACGCACCAGGGGCTCCTTGTCGCTGAATATACATTCACACACAAGGAGTTGCCTATCCATGTAGCTACGTTTTAAACACCATAAACTGCCTGTTCCTGAAGGAACACGTTAAGCATAGTTATCTTTTGTCCCCGAAAAAAAAAACTTGCAACCCAAGGTTTCTGTCATTGAAGAAACACTACGAATGATACTACGAAGAACAAGCTACCACACTGTTGTTAAAAAAGTGAGCCACTACAATGATGGTGCAAAGAAAAAGCCACTACAATGTTATTACAAAAATAAGCACCTACAATAAAGGTACATAAAAACCACCACAATGTTAATACAACAAGCCACTATAACGATATATAAATACCACCACAATGTGGTAACAAAAACAAACCATTACAATGATGGTACATAGAAAAAGCCATTACAATGTTAAATGTTAAAATAAAAACAAGCACTACAATGATAAAAAGAAAAAGCATTACAATGTTAATACAAAGAATAAGCCACTACAATGATAGCGCATAGAACAAGCCACTACAATGTTGGTGCAAAAACAGGATCACACAATGTTGCTACAGAGAGCAAGCTACTGCAGTGATAATTCAAAGAACAAGTCTCTTCAATATTGGCACAAAGAACAAGCCACAAAAATGGTGATAAAAATTAATAACTTCATTGTTGTTATATAGAACAAGCTTCGAAATAGTGGTGGAAAGGATTAATGGTACAAAGAACAAACCAATACAATAATGATGCAAAGAGTAAGCCACTACAATGTTGGTACAGTGAATAAGCTACAACAATCTCTACACAAAGAAGCTATGCACGTGGAACAAAGAATAAAGTACCTAATACGATGTTAATATGATGAACAAGGTATTACAATAATATCAAGAAAGAGCTATTAAAATAGTGGAACACAGAATCTACTGCAATATCAGCACGGAGAACAAACTACCACCATGCTTGTTGGTGTTAAGTACAATCCACTATAATGTTGGTAGAAAGAACAAGCTGCTTCATTGCAGGTACAGAGAAGATTACAATGATAGTACAAAAGATGTTACTACAGACCTGGAGAGTGTACAAAGAACTTTCATGGCACACACAAGTGTGATAAAGCACCTAAACTACTGGGAACGGTTGAAGGTCCTTGATCTGTATTCCCTCGAACGCAGGCGAGAGGGAATGATAATATACACTTGGAAGGTCCTGGAGGGATTGGTACCAAACCTGCAAACGAAAATCACTCCATGTGAAAGCAAAAGACTCGACAGGAGATGCAACGTTTCCCCGATGAAAAGCAGGGGTGCCACGAGTACACTGAGAGACAACACAATAAGTGTCCGGGGACCAAGACTGTTCAATTGCCTCCCAGCATACATAAGGGAGATTACCAATAGACGCCTGGCTGTCTTAAGAAGGCACTGGAAAGGCACCCAAAGTCAGTACCTGACCAACCGGGCTGTGGTTTCTACGTTAGCTTGCATGCGGCCAGCAGTAACAGCCTGGGTGATCAGATCCTGATCTACCATGAGGCCTGGTCTCAGACCGGGCCGAGGGGGCGTTGACCCCCGAAACCCCCTCCAGGTGAACTCCAGGTAAACTATGGTGTTGGAACAAAGAAATAGTTAATACAATGGTACAAAGACAAGCTACTACAAAGTTGGTACAATTAAATGGTGCTACAATACAGGTACAAAAATCAAGATAGTCACAAAATTGTTGATACAAAGAAAAGTAACTATAATTTGGGTACAAAGAACAGTATTCTACAATGTTGGCACAAAGAAGAAGCTATATCTAAGTTGGAACAAGGGCAGTCTACTGTAATATTGGTACAATGAACTACTATGATGTTGGTACACATCACAAGCTACTTCAATGCTGGTACTAACAATAGGCCTTTACAATGTTGGCACAAAACATAACTACATAGTTGGTATAAAGGACAAGCCACTAATAAAGTCTAATGACTTTTCTTTTGTACCAAAATTAGTACACAGAACAAGCCATTGCAAGTTGGCATAATGTAGAAGCTACTACAAATGCTATCACTACAGAAAGATCAAGCCGTTACATTGTGGTACAAAACACAAGCCGTTACATTGTTAGTACAAACATCAAGCCGCCACATTGCTGGTACAAGGAAGCCGCTACATTATTGGCACAAAGAAAAAGTCGCTAAATTACTGATAAAAAATAATTAACTACAATGTTGAAAAAAGGAACATGCTACTACAGTAATGACAAAGAATTCTAGCCTACAGTTGTTCGGTCAAAGAACCAGTTAAATATCACTGCTAAAAAAAACATGCCACAAGTAATGGTACAAAGAAAGAGCTAATAAATACTGTGATGTTTTTCTTTATACCATAGTAACAACATATTCTTTGTACCAAAATTGTAGTAGCATCTTCGCTGAAATATTGCAGTAGCTTGTTCTTTGTACCTACATTGTAGTACTACTGTTATACCAATATTGTTGTAGTTTGTTTTTGTACTAACACTGTAGTGGCTTGTTCTTTACAGCAATATTTATTAGTTATACATGAATGGTATACAATACCGCCAAGATGAAAATCAGACACATGTGCAACATCTGGGTATCTTTATTATTGACGCTACGCCATCCAATGATTTTATCAATACAAATTCAAGGACATGAATGGAAGACAGAAGAACTATATACAA